CGGCCGCTGCGCGGCCCCGCCGCTGCGCGGCGCGGCCGCTGCGCTGGCCCCCCGTCTCGAGGGCCCCCCGCCTCGCGCTCGAGGCCGCGCCCGCGGCCGCCGAGCCTCCCCGGCGGGCCGCGGCGGTCGGCGGAGGCGCTGCGCCGGCGCCCCGTCGCGATCGCGGAGCTCCCGCGGCGCGCGCGCGGCCTCGGGGCCCTGCTGTGTGCTCCCCAGGGCGGGGCCTCTCGGCGCCGCCCTTCCCGCGAGCGTCTCCCGGCCACCGTCGCAGGGCCCAGGCATGCCCCCTGGGCGGGTTCGTCTTGTGGCTCGTGCTTGCTTTCCCCGGATTTTCACTCGGCGTCTCAGACATCCTTTTTTGTTCAAAGCGCTTTCATGTCCCAACCAACAAACTAACAATGCTACCACATGCTATTCCATCTATACATATATACATATATATATATGTGTATGCTTACAAACATGTATAGATACACGTGCGTGGATATGTTGTGTTGTTTTACGTTGTTAGTTTGTTGTTCGAAACACGGCTTTCAACACACATGTTGCGTTGTGTAACATTGCCGTCTACGACGTCCTCAGTTCCTTCTCCTTGCGTCTAGTCCTCACTGTTCTATTATTACGGTTTCTCCTTTCGATTTTCTCCAGCCGTCGCTGCTGGCTGGTCGCAGGGTCTCTGGGCCCGTTTCGCGCCCGTGTCAGGGCGTCGTTTTTGCGTTTTCAACTCTGTGCGCGGAGCGGGAGGAACGGGAGCCAGCAGGAACAGGAGAGCGGGAGCGAAGACGGCAGGGAAGACAAAGAACAACCTTCGACCAGAAAGCAACACACGCTAAACCAACGAAGATCGACAACGACGAACCGAACATGCTAAGACAGCGACCTGTAAACCGCTACATCAACGTTCAGTTTTCTTAGCGTTTTTAGTTTGCCAAGGGCCCAAAGGTGAATGTTTTCTTATTCGGCGTTTCGACATTGGGCGGAAGGGGGCGGAAGGGGGGAGGGGGGTCTGCCTCTGGACCTCTGCTTAGTGCGACTGCGTGGAGCAATGCTCCCGTGGAGAATCCTATGGAGAGCCGGGGCCCCCGTGCTTCCTCCACCTGCTTGAAGCAGGCGCCAGCGGCGTCAAAAACAGCCAGGACCTACTCCAGGGGATGGGGGGGGCGAGGGCCCGCGCCGATCGGCAACACGAAGAACGGGGCAACGACCTCCCGAGTACACGAAACAAACCTTTGGTGCAACGCCCGGGGAGTCTGTGCAGGGTGGCCCAGGCCGACCACCGGCCGCAGCCCGGGGACGGCGCCGGCCTCGACGACCACACCGCGCGCGCTGCGGTGCCGCCGCGCCGGGAGCGGGCGGGCCCGCTGTGCGGCTGCCGCTGCCGCCCCCGCTGTGCGGCTGCTGCCAGCGGCGCAGGCCGCCGCCCCACGGCGCGGGCCGCAGCGCTCCACCGCGCTGCCCGCGCGCACACGGCGTCGACGAGCCGGCCCAGAGGCCCACCGCGCAGGGGCGCGGCGGAGCCCCGCCTCGCCTCGCCGCCGTCGGCGCCGTGGTCGGCGGCTCCTCGATCATGCCCGGCTGGGAAGGCAGCGCCTGGCGCCCCCCGCGCCGACAGGTGGCGCGCCGGAGCCGGGGCGCCGCCCAGGAGCCAAGCCGAGCTTGCTGCCCGCGTGGAGGAAGTGGCTGGCCGCCTCGGCCAGGAAGGCGTCCGAGCGGGGGTGCTGACCTCAATCGCGAGGTCGACGAGAGGGCCACCCAGGCCTTCCTCACCCACCACGTTTTTTGTTCTCCACCAGACCGCGACCACGATCTGCTGCGCGAGGTTTCGCCACCACCCGTTCTGCGCACGACCAGCCCAGGCACCTCGCCGAGGAGCCGGAGGACATGGCACCACGCCAGGGCACAGCTGCGCCACAGGACTGCTGCGCCTGCCGAGCTCGCCCTGTGCCTGGACGACGCCCTCCGCCGAGGCGTCGGGGCCGCTGAGCTTGGCATCCCGCGTGGGGCCCAATCCTCCTAAGGCCTCACGCCCTCGCAGCCCAGCCACATCACAGCGCGGCCGGCTGCGAGGTAAGGCGTGCTCTGGCCGGGCCCCGCCTCGGCCGCCCACACCGCACCGCGGCCACCGCCCGCGCCTGCGCGCATGCCGCTGCGGCCATCGCCAGCGCCCGCACAGGCGCCCTCTCCTCACCGTGCCGCCGCGGCCACCGCCTGCAGCCGCGCGCGTGCCGCCGCGGCCCCGTGCCGAGCGTGCACGTGTGCCGACGCGGCCACAGCCCGCGCGCGCGTGCCCCTCGCACCTCTCTCACTGAGAGGGCGGGGCGCGTCCGGCCTGCGCGCAATCTTGCTGCTGGGTGGCGCGCCTCCTGGTCGGCGCTGCTGCGGCGCCAGCGGCCTCGCCGACCCCCAGGCTGTTGTCTGCAGGTCGCGCCTCGCCGCACCGTATGCCCCCTCCCTCCCCCTCGCACTGAGCCAGCAGACCCCCCCGTCGTTGCCCCTGCTGCCCCAGCCCGTGCGCGCGCGCGGCGCCGCCGCGGCTCCACCTCGCCCCACCTCGCACGCTGGCTGCTCGCACGCTGGCTCGCACGCTGGCTGCCCGCCGCGCCGCGCCCCACCTCGCACGCTGGCTGCGCTCCTCTAGCAGTCTGGCCCGCCGCGGCCCCAGTCCGTGTGCGCACCTGCGTCGCGCCCCACCTCGCACGCTGGCTGCGCTCCCCTGGCAGTCTGGCTGCGCGCCTCCCCGGCCGCGCCGGCCCGCCCTCGAGGACTCTCGCTCGGGCGGTGCCCTCTGGCCTGCCCGTCGCAGTCCGCCCTCGCCGCCGCCCCGCCTCACCACCGCGCCAGTTCCCCGCTGGGGCCCTGCATGTCGGCAGACACTGCGGAGCCCCCCCCCGGTCAATCGGGCTCCGCTGGCCCGCTTTCATTATATTTTCTGTTGCACTGCTAGAGGCCTCCCGCATGGGGTCCGAGTTGATGGGGTCGGAGGATCGCGCCGCATCGCCCATGCATCGGCGCCGTCGGCGTGGAGGAACTCAGGCTCCAGGTCGAGTCGCATCGGCGCTGCATCGGAGATGCGGCGCGATCCTCCGACCCCAGCTGCTCGGACCCCATCCGGGAGGCCTAGAAGTGCGCGGGCCGGGGGCCGCAGAGTGCGAGGTGCAGGCGGCGCCTTGCAGGATGGGCTGCCAAAGGGCCCCCCCGCTGCGCAGCGTGCAGCCCGCGGGCCCTCGCGGCGCCTGGGCGTGCGAGGAGCACGAGCTCAACGCTCTGCCTCCCGCTCTCGCGGTCTGTGTGCCCCCCGCCCCCGCCTCGCGGGCAAGTATGGTCGTCCGTGCCCCCGCCGCCCCCGCCCGCCCCGACCAGACACCAAGCGAACCCGTGCGATCTGATCATCCATCTCCCTCGCCCTCGCCATACCCCTCTCCGTCTTCCTCTCCTTCGCCCTATCATCCACTTCCTCCCTCTCCTCCTCCTCCTCCTCCTGCTCCCGTTCCTCTTCCTCCTCATCCTCCTCCTTCTCCCTTCGCTCCTCCTCCTCCTCCTCCTCCTCCTCCTCCTCGCCCCTCCTCCTACTCCTCTTCTCCTCCTCTCCTACTCCTCCTGCTCCTGCTCCTGCTCCTGCTCCTGCTCCTGCTCCTGCTCCTGCTCCTGCTCCTGCTCCTGCTCCTCCTCCTCCTCCTCCTCCTCCTCCTCCTCCTCCTCCATTCCTTATTTTTATAAATAACTCCTCCCTGTCGCATCCCGAGGCTGGTCGAAAAGGTGGGCCGGGCGTTTCGTCTGAGACTTCCTCACCATTTACGACCCTGAAGCCTAAACTTTGGCAGCAGTTTCACACATGGAGGGCGGATGATTTTCAAAACGTGGCTCTCGCCTTAGCGCCGCGCACATTCGTCTTAAACAGTTGCAAGAGCTTCACGGATTGAGGGCGGGCCGTTTTCAACATGTGGCTCTCGCCTTAGCGCCGCGTGCACTCGTTTAACACAATTTGTACGAGCTTCACGGGAGGAGGGCAGGCACTTTTCAACTTGTGGCTCTCCCCCTAGCGCTATGCGCACATTCGTTTTAAACATTTGAAAGAGCTCCACATATTCAGGGCGGGTGGTTTTCAACATGTGGCTCTCGCCTGAGCGCCGCGCACACTCGTCTTAAACACTTGCAAGAGCTTCACGGATTGAGGGCGGGTCGTTTTCAACATGTGGCTCTCGCCTTAGCGCCGCGAGCATTCGTCTTAAAGCACTACAGGAGTTTAACCGCTCGAGGGCGGTCAGTTTTCAAGTGGTGGCTCTCGCCTCAGAACCGCGCGCATTTTTGATTTGTTAAACTGTTGAAAGACACGGAATCCCATGGTCAACGCACCAGAGATGTTTTTCCCCCCCCCGAAGGACTGAAGGTTGCGAGGGTGTCAAAGTTACGTTGGTTCGCGGTGCTGAAGTTCTGGGAGTGGTGTTCTGGCACACTTCAAGATGGAATGTTGTTTTGGCATGCTTCATAGTATTCAAACAGTTGTCTCCCAACGAGGCAGTTCCCTGAATGGAAATGGACCCTCGTAGGGGCCTATGAAGAGGGAGCCTGTCGGGAGGGTTAATTCCAACATCGTTGATGAGTCTTGGGTTTGCACTGGTCCTTCTTTTCCTGCTCCTCTTCCTCCTCTTCCTCCTCCTCCTCCTCCTCCTTCTCTTTTTCCTCCCCCTCCTCCCACCCTACCTCCCTCCCTCCTCCTCGTCCTTCTGCTTCTGCTGCTCCTCCTGCTCCCCCTCCTCCTCCTCCTCCTCCTCCTGCTCCCCCTCTTCTTCTTCATCTTCTTCTTCTTCCTCCTATTCTTCTTCTACCCCCTCCTCCTCCTCCCCCTCCTCCTCCCCTCCTCAGCCCTCCTCCTGACGTGAGCGCGACCGTCATGTACAGGCCACCTTCTGTACCACTCTCCCTCCCTCCTCTTCCTGCTCCTGGTCTTGCTCCTGCTCCTGCTGCTGCTCCTCCTCCTCCCCAGCACAGGTGGCGCCGGCCTGCCCAGCAGAGCACGCACAGGCCCAGGAAGACGCCGAACTCGAGGTTGCCCGGGGGCCCGGAGAGGCGGAGCCACCTTGGGCCGATCTCCGCGCTCCTCTTGACTGACTTTCTGGCTGACTGGCTGACCGACTGGCTGACGGACCGTCTGATTGACCGACTGACTGACTGACTCAAAAAGGGCCCTGGGATACACAAGTAGATAGACACACATCCAAGGATTCCACATATATATATATATAAATCTATATTTCCAATCGTTTTGGTGCTTTCGTCTTCCCCCTCCCCATATTCTCTTGGGGGTCGAAGATTAATTGTGTCTGTGTGTTGACTGACTGACTGGCTGACTTGGTTTTGTCCTACAAGACAGTCCAAAGCAAACCTGCCGCCCCTGAGACCGCCTCTCGAGACGCGCAGCCGCGGGGCGTCGGGATCCGGGGCGGAAGCAAGACTTCCGCCTCCTCGTCCTCCTGCTCCTCCTTCCCTCTCCTCCTTTCCTCCTTTCCTCCTGTTGGCTCCCGTTGGCTCATCCACTACCGTCACCTCCAGCAAAACCCGCAATGAGATAGGACAAACAAGGAAGATCAGTCCTGGACGGTGCCAAGGGACTCCTCCAGCTCCTCGAACCGCGGGCGCAGCCAACCTGGCAGCCGAGAGCCGCGGGAGTCCGTGGCGAGGTGCTCTGTGGGTCGGCCTCGCTTGTCTCGTACCACGGGGTCCTGCACGTCCGAGTCCGAGCTGGAATCCGAGGCCATCACACGCTCCAGCTCTGCAGCAGAAAGTGGCTGGAAAGCGCCCGTCCAACCAGTGACCGACTCCTCCGTGCCGTCGACGCGCGCGGCAGTGACTGCCCCACCACCGACAGGCTCCGCCTCGATCGTGTCAGACCTGTCCCGCGGCTCGCAGACATCCGCGGGAAGCTCAAGGGCAGGAGGGGCCATGCGATCTGTATCATCCGCTGCCTCCGAGCCAAACCGCTCTGATGACGGCTCATCTTGCACATCTGCAGTAGGTATATCTCTGGCAAGGTCTCCCTCCGAATCGCACTCTTTGTGTCCGCCCGTGACATCAGTGGCCGCCGCGGGCTCCTCGCCGCCACCAGCCATGGGAAAGAAACGCTCGGCCTGGGGGTTAAGCTCGAATGGGCGGGGAGGTTCCGGAGCCGCGCATCCGAGCCGCCTGCGCTCCAGTGTAGGCCCCTTCTGGAAGTCTTTCACCTGCTTGTCTGACGCTGCCGCCGCGCTGGCGCCGCCTGCGTCTGCGTGGAGGGCCGCGTTGCGCTTCCGCACGTCGGCCAGCAGCGGGACCTCTCCGCGAAGAAGAGACAGGATATGGGGAACAAGGGCGAGGACGCGATCCGCCAGTTCCGGATTGTCGAAGATGGCTAGAAACACGATGCACCAGCTGCCCGTGAGCGCCGCGCCCCCTCGCCAGCTCCTCTGAGAGTTTGATGATTGCTCTGTCAACTGAACGGCGAACCCACTGCTTGGCCGCACGCCGTGCGGCAGGAGTCCGCCGATCTGGGCGATCAACGCCATCGCCCTCCCACGCAATTTGCCCGTGAACCAAGAGCCCTTCTCCCCCAAGTCCCTCACGCCCGCCACGTTGCCCCGTCGAGCTGGGGTCGCAGGGTAGGCTGGGGGACAAGGTCCAGGAAACAAGACAAGACAAGACAGCTCCCTACGCGCCGGGGCGCGGTCCCACTAGGAACGGAGCGGTGGCGCCGTGGCGCCGGAAAGAGTGGGGGCCTCAGGTGATGAATAAGAAATCCTGGAGTGGGTAGTACATCTCGTCATCTTTGCGTGATGCGCCATTCTTGGCATGATAATGCCACACGCTCATCCGATGTATGATCATTTGTTGTTTTGCACCGCTCTCTGCAGAGAAGTAAAGATTGCATAAAACAGCCGCAAGAAGATATCAGATTTCGCCATTGGGTCTTCAGTACCCCCATGAAATTTGTCGCACGCCTGCCTCCATTCAAAAGTTCGGCATCTAACTCCATAGTGGGCTTCGAACTCTCGCCTGGACAGTTTAGTCTTCGGGTGATGAGGGCATGCCGCCAACATTTTGCCATACTTGTGTAGAACACCGGCCAGATTTTGCATTCCTCCATGCTCCGCAGCGCCTGGCCGAGACCTTGTCTATATTATCTCTTTGTAGTTGGTGGCCACAAATCTTTCCATTCGCCTCGTGCGGATCAGGCGGGTGGTTGAATTCTCCCACACACCAGGGTAACATAGTATTTCGCATTCTGAGGGGGTCTGCTTTTGCTTCTGGTCCTCCTCGCTGCTGCTCTCGCCAGAAATCTCGGCCAGGGGCTCGAAATAAACCTCACGATGGCTAGACGTGCCCGGTCTCTTTCCCACATCGTTTGCCCGCTGTAATAACTCGCCCAATACTTCGGCCACTGATGGAGTCACTGGTGGTTCCGAACAAACAAGAATACGCTCCAATCTATCAATGCGGGTTGTGGCGTCATGCGCTGCAGCTGCATCGCTGGGCTGTTCTGGCTCCCCTTTTTTTCGTTCCAGCAATATGTCCAAGCGATGCTGAACCTGCACCACGTGGTTGAAAAGAAACTGTTGCATAACTGTGATCTCGTGCATGATCCAGTGCATCCCTCCCGTTGTCTGCTGCATCTTCTCGCAAAGATTTTTGTCAACTCTCTTGTCGTAGCACTGATTTCTTTGATCTTGCTGTCAAACGTGTCGGTCTGCCGGGATACTGCACCATTTAGGTTGTACATCTGTTCGAAGATGCTGTCAGCCATCTTGCGTCTCTCTCGGCGGCATTGCGATGCCGATTCAGAATTGACAGCTGATTTCCAATTTCTGAAGGGTGCCATGTCGCTTCGGGGCCTCACTGCTTGCTGGGGCCTCATTTGATGGTTACTTGAGCCATTATGGTTACTTGAGCCAAAACGGCCAACGGAGCGGGGGGCCAACGAGGGGGCAGGGGGGCCAACGGAGCAGTTACAAGGTCCAGGAGCAGGGGGCCAACGGACAGGCCAGAGCCAAAATGGCTGCGGACATTTCCTCCTTCTCCTCCTCCTCCTCCTCCTCTTTCGCGCCTGGGGGCCCTGGGGCCGAGCTCCGCGCTCCGTCCGGAGCCGCTGGGCATCAGGCCCCTCGGGCGGGCCACGGAGCCCGGGTTTTCGAGCGTGGGGCCCCGAGCGGTGCCTTCCAGGCCGCGGCCTCGGAGAGGGCTCTCTGGGGCATCGGGCGGGAGGAGGAGGAGGAGGAGGAGGAGGAGGAGGAGGAGGAGGAGGAGGAGGAGGAGGAGGAGGAGGAGGAGGAGGAGGAGGAGGAGGA